CTCTTCACAGTGTGTGTCCTAACCACTTCCACCGCTTCTTCCTGATTTCCTCCTCCACTGGAATCTGGTTTGTTCTCTCCCACAGTAAGTTGTTGCTGATTGTGTATGGCCAACGAATCCTCAATATTTTGCGTAGACAACTGTTAATAAACACTTGTATCTTCTGGATGATGGCTTTCGTAGTTCTCCAAGTTTCCACTCCATACAATAGAACTGTCTTGACATTTGTATTGAAAATCCTGATTTCGGTTTTGGTTGAAAGTTGTTTGGAATTCCAGATATTTTTCAATTGTAGAAATTCAGCCCTTGCTTTGCCAATCCGCGCCCTCACATCTGCATCGGATCCACCTTGATTGTCGATGATGCTACCATGATATGTAAAGGTGCTAATATCCTTCATGGCATCTCCATCAGTAGTGATTTTTTTGGTGCATGTTGTGTTGCATCGGAGAATTTTGCTTTTTCCTTTATGTATGTTGAGACCTACTGCTGCAGAGGCTGCTGCTACACTGTTCGTCTTCTCTTGCATTTGTTGTTGCGTATGCGATAGGAGAGCCAGGTCATCTGCGAAGTCCAGATCGTCCAGCTGCGTCCTAGCTGTCCACTGAATACCGTGCTTCCCTCCAGATATCGACGTCTTCATAATCCAGTCGATCATCAGGAGAAAGAGAAAGGGTGAGAGTAAGCAACCTTGACTGACACCGGACTTCTTCTTAAACGACTCTGTCAGCTGACCTCCGAATATAGAAAAACAGTGTTTATCAACTTCATTATTCAATCACATCAATGAATATTATTTATTGTAAGTTGAAAGTGATGTAGATTTTGAGAGGTTATCGAAGCCGCTAAAAGTCTGCATTCAAACAAGTTCATCTACTTTCAATATATATTCAAATAATTTTGGTGCGCTTGTAATTCTAAAAAAATCTTTAAATCATTATTTCGAATCCAAATGAAAATTGGAACTAAAAGAAATCATGATAACCCGGTGTACAAAATGTTTGAAAAGTCGAATTTTTAAAATATCTCATAAGTAATATCAACTCATTATCACATATATGCAAACAATATCGTGTAAATATTTAGTCGCAAAATATCCATTTAGAAATTTTTTTTAGTAATGAAACAATCTATAACCAAATATTTTTGTTCGTTTATCTAAAATGCAGGATCATATCTACTAGTTGAAAAAGATTGATTGAATGGCGATTTTGTCCTGTATTAAGGATAGCCAAGTTATAGAAAAACAGTCGATTATGAGATTATTTGAATATCTTCAGTCAAATTAAATAGAGTTTATTTTCACAGCTGTAAAATCATATATACATGATGTGTGTTTATTCAAGATTGTTTTTCGAATAATAGATACATATGATTGAAAATTGAACCGTTTGAATATCTTCAAAGATATTTCGTATGTTGTAATATTTTCGTATTGCGTTTTCGCTTAGCTTACTTAGTTTCCAGTTTGTACCAAAACAATGGCTGTCGATTTGATTATCTAATGATATTTACCGGATGATAAAGTCCACTCACTGAAGTATGTGTGTTATTAACTGTAATATATTAGCATAAACTTAAATTTTAATAATTAGAGTTATGAAGGTTAGTGTTTTTACATATTGAAATCATCAAACAACCATATTAATGATTGACTGACGATTTCAATGTGTAAAAGCAGTACTCTCCATAACTCCTAAAATATGACCAGCTTCGTGAGGAAATTCTCTGAGTTCCAGTGAGAATACGTGACCAGTGGAGTTCAACCCTGTAGGGTGAAGGCAGTAACTACCAAACACAAATACTTGAGGTCTCACGGAATCCCTAGATCGATCAGAGTTAGACGTCAACACTGTTGGATGCTGGCTCAGTGGTCCAGAGGTTAGGCGTTCGCGCACAAGACTGAAGATCCAGGGTTCGAATCCTGCTAGCTGCAGAAGTCGTAGATGTGTACTGCTGATGAGTGCCATTCCAGAACGAAACGGCCATCCAGTGATTTCAGGTTTCTAATGGTGTTCTAACAATGATTGATTATTGATTTCAAGGATACTAAAATATCAAATTTTTCGCTTAAAACAATGATTACGCTGGTAAACAATTTTGTACGTACCAGGTTGCTAGTGAGTCTTACTTTTGCTTAACTTAAAACCAGAGAAAGTATTTATACTGAATGATTGCTTGCTATAGAAATTACTTAATTCATATATAATAGGATTCATCGTGGAACTATTTTTAAATGCTCATCAATTTATGTCACTGATTTCTAGTGTTAGTATAATTTACTTGCGCACTGCACAGCTCGGACAGCCATATCGATGGTAGCTAACTCAATGTCAACCCATGTGTTTGCTCAATGGAGAAAATCTACAGTGATCATGAAATCGAATTCTAAAGTAATAATTGAAGGATTTTATCAAAACTGATCGTACAACCACAAATCATGTGAATTATCTGGTGACCAATCAGGTATTATATGATAAATAATTCCTTTTGATAAAAAACCTATTCCTATTTAACATACCCTAGTTTTTATCCTTGAAATCTGAATTAAATTAATAACATTTCAACATTTGTTATCCTTGTTGTATACGTATACATTTCGTATCTACAAATTATGTGTGTAATTTACATAAGCCAGCATATAAACCCTAACTCATCAAAAACCAAGTGTTTCTCATTTACAGATTTCTTTCTGTCTGCATATATAAATATTATTAACATTATATATTGGCGTTTGCATAATCACATTTTTTTACAAAAATATGTAAATCTAATCCTGTCCAACGAAACTGAATAAAGTATGAAATTATCTGATTAACTGTTTTGAATTAATCTTGAGAAAATATTCTGTAATCAGATCAAACCTAATAATTTTTGGAAAAAGTGTCACAGCGATGAGATAATATTTTAGTGCATGAGATTTCAGTGTGAAAAAAAAATTTTAAAAACATTACAAATTTTGTTCAAAGATGATAAATATTTTTAAATTCTGTATTTTTAAGATGATGTAAGTTACATTTTTAAAAAATAGAGATAAATATACACAGTGTGTCATTATGAAGTTACATGGCGTATTTTTTTCAACAACATGACATAGTATAATCGAAAATTCGGTAATTAGTGTAATAGGCATTTGGTTCACGTATATTTCAAAAAAATAATTGCACTTTGAACGTGACTAAACTTACGAATTATTTTTGTAACGAAACAAAACATCTATACATATATTTACATTTCATCTTAGGTTGAACCAGTAATCTCGCAAAATGAGAAGATGGACTTGATCAGAGAGAAGTCGTTTATTCATACAAAACATTTTGTACATTAGAGTTACATATATGAAACAAATTGAATAAAACCATATTGTTCAACTTGCAAATGATTGAAGAAAGTCGTGTTATCAGTTAGACAGTAAAAGGTGATTATCTTAAGTTAGTCGATCAATTTACTTCATTCTTTATAAATGCTCCTCTGACAAAAGTTAGGGTTAGGGTGAAAATTAACAACGCAGTCATCAGTATTTCAAAAAAACTGTTTTAATGAACGATTACCGAATTTTCAATTGGTAATTCACGTTTAACGATTACATTTGATGACATTTAGAGAAAGTGAGGAATTATTTGTGATTTGAAAGTAAATTAAATCAAATATGTTGGTAAATGTAGGCTACCTGGTGGGGATCGGCGAGACGAAAGTCACCGAGTGGTTAGAGACCTTGAACGACATGGCTCAAAATTGTTTGCGATGGCGCAGATGCATCCACCCTTTGTGTTCTCTCAAATTCTTATCTTCTGAATTCCTCATCATCTCTATCTATTTCTTTCTTAATTTATCTAACTGAATTATACCTCTCGAATCATATCTTGAAACCCTAATCTTCTCCATTACTGCAAATACTTCTACTATCTCTACCACTATGGGATTTGAATTGACAGTTGCGTCTCTGTGCTTATGGGGTATGGCAACCTGAATTTATTTACTCATGTACGAAGTTCTGCGTTGTAATTGACTGACTGACTGACTGAATATGCTAACCAATCAGTATAAATATGTACTCCTAACTTTCTAATATACAAATGATGCCTTTTTATGTAGATTTAAACGATTATCGATAAAAAGGTTCTCTCTTTTAGCATAAATAACTGTACTTATTTGAACATAATGGCAAATCTCATCGAATACATCCGTAAGCTCTTATATTCTATGTCTTTAGTTTGGTTATTTGTATATTTTCATATACATATACACATATATATTACGAGTCTACCTAGTCAGAAAACAAGAGCGAGGATCAAAGATCCGGTGACACGACATGCTACTTAATTCGATTATTCCAACCTTCATTGAAGAAAAGAAGAAGGCTTGATATGAAGTAGAACCTGCAATCTACATGCTTCCAGAATATACGAGGTCCAAGTCAAGAAGAGAATCAGCATCCCGGACTAGGGATACGGGACCAGGTCCTGGCCCTGGTCGCCAAACGTTGCAGATAATGCGTATTTATACATTTTGGTCGAATAGGAAACAGCATCAAAGTCTGTGACCTTGAGATTTCATTTCCCACCAGAAAAATCCATGGCTATGATTGGCTGCTGTGTCTGTTAGTGTGCTATTTTCGTAACTGTCCCAAGGACGTTCCTATGATGTATAAATAAACGAGAGTTGTGTGCTTGATTGTATTGTGATTGCTGAGTGTTTGTAGAATGTACTTTCTACGTCTACCAAATCTGCTGTTTTGCAGTATGGGATTCAAGGTAGCTTACCTGAACGCTGGTTCATTGTCTCGTTCGCGTTTATCGACTGAGGTGAACTCGTATTAGCTTCAAGCGTACCAAGTGAAGACCATAACAATATATATATATATATATATATATATATGTGAATACCCAAACTAAGGTAATGCGATTTAATGCCCAAAATATTCACGAAATCAACGAGAGAACAAAAAACTCAACGCAACATGCCCTCAACTGCAAAAAAACAAAACAAGAGTTTATCTCAAGAAACAATGAATCAGAATTTTCTATTTTTTCAGAGAAACAAACAATTGAATAATTTGTACATTTTTTGAAAAAAAAAATTATTTCTATCGTATCATTTGTTTAAAATAGCTATGTGTCTGGTGACAATGGTTTATTTCAATAGAAAACATAATTCACTTTACACACACACATAAACACACACACGAGCACGCATACATGCCCAAGATTTTCGCGAGAACACACTACAGCACTGGGATTTTTTGGTGAACAAAACGATTGTTTTGTGAATGATGCAGTGTTTTTTTAAATATTTTTTTCAAATTTCAATTTTATATTTTCTTTCGCAGTTATTTGAATTCATCACTGAAAACAAGAAGAAGATTTATGATAGAAAAAACAAGCATTGTGTTTACTACGGACCATTAATCGAGTGTTTTTTTTTCAAATAGTTTTCTAGAAAATAAGATAATTAAAATACAAATTTCAACTGTGTTATAGTTAGTTGATCAGCTCATAATAGTAATAATAATAATAATCATATATAGATGATGATTATGTTTAAAATAGATTAATGGATTTATTTGTCACAGAAAAACAAAAATAATAATAAAGGCATTCTCAGGACGAATACTTGTGAAATGCAAAATTATTCCACTAGATTTTGTTGGGTTGTTTCATGTATTTAGTTATAATCTTCTAAAATCACCACGAAATATACGTAGAAATGTTTTTTTAAACTGCGCATTAGCTAATGCATAACAAAATGGATTTATAGGGGAATTCATATAACATAACCAATAAGTTACACTATAGAATATATCATTAACACAGGTATATTTTTTTTGAATATCATCACATATACCCTTGATCATGATGACTATATGATACGGTGTCCAGCATATTACAAAAGCACCCATAATAAATGTGATTGTTCGTAGCGCTTTACGTGCACGATTCTCACGTCGACCACGTTCAATAGTTTTATGTTTTGATTTACGACGAATAAATGTTTTCTTCACATGTTCTACAATATTGTCTTTATGTAATTTTACTTTAATTGATTGTAAATAAAATAAAAGACGTGTTTTGAAAGAAATATTTGTCGAGGGTTTTTGATGATCGAAAGCAAAAGAATGACAGAGACATTTTTCATCACATAGAGCTGGACCAGTGAGATCACCGAAACTGGAACTTGATTGTAATGTATCAGAATCTTGTTGTTGTTGTTGTTGTTGCTGTTGACGCATACATATGACACAAACTTGTTGACTCATACATTCATCAACTCGTCGATTGAAACACTGATAACTTCGAATGGAACATGGTGCACTGACTATACCATCACAGCATAAAGGGCGAGATTTCCAAATCGGAGATGAATTGTTTGTATACAGACGAGTTTGTAAATTACTATCTAACTCTGTAGAATTACAACAATCCATATTGTTTCGATAGAGCTGTGATTTTGAATTTCCTGAATAAACTGTAGACTGATGAATATCATTATTATGAGTGTTGTTTGTAGTATTCTCAGTACCTTTAGATGATGTTGACTCAGAGAAATTGGAAGTATTCAATGTTAATCGTGAATGATTGTTAGCTTGTTTAGATTTTGACAAATTTTGATTGGACGGTGGATTAGTTGCTTTTGTGTAGTCTGTAACTCGAGATGGTGTTTTCTGATTACCTAAAGCTGCCAATCTTTGTTTAAATTGTTCCATAACACGATTCTGATAATCTGGATCGACTGTCACTTCATGTTTTCTTTCTTTTTCAAATTCTGTCTTATAGATAGATGATTGATTCTCTTTTTCTGACACGGAACTCGATTCTTCTTTATTTAAACAATCATAGGATAATGGTATAGGTAATTCTTGTACTTTTTTTGGTAAAACTGACTGACAGTCATTCACTTCAAGTCCACTATCATCATCTGTCAAAACTGGGGAATTGATGATAAGACCACGATTTTTATTTGTCATAACAGATGTTGGACAAATAAAACCAAGTTCAGATTCTGGTACTTCATTCAGCTGATCAGAATTAGTTTTATATAAATCACCTACTCTTGGTTTCATTGGAATACTACCAATCGATTCCAACAAATTAGGTGTAATGTCGGATCGAGCTTCAATCTTTGGCAATGCAACAAATGCTTTCTCAATTTGTGGTTCAGTTGAAGTTTTCGGATTATGCCTATTCTGTTTATCTGTAAGTTTGCCTGTTTTAGATGAAGCATTTTGTTTTACAGGATCTGATTTACCTTCATCTGAATCGAAACCGGATGAATCGCCTAAGCCCACAATACTACTATTATACGGATAAGTACTATTAGTAGTTGTGACTTTTTGATTTGTATTGTGGGATAAATTTCGTTGGTTATTCATTTGCACATGTGTGACATTTTTATTATTATTTTGTTTATTGTTAGTAATAAGACCGGAAACACGATTTCGTTTTTCATCACTACGTTTTTGTAAATCAGCAGCTACACGATATATACCAACGTATAATACTAACATTACGCACAAAGTAACCCAAAAATAGCACACTGTGAAAACTGTGTTGAATATAGGGTCTGTGGCAAATTCTGCATAACATTCATCATCTGGTCTAGAATTACCATGAGTATGAAAATAAGGCCAACCCATTATTGTTGTAAAAAATACAGACGATGGTATAATCCATGTAACAGCAACTAGGATGAGTATCTTTCTTTCAGTTCTCCAGTTTCGGTACTTTGCAGGTATACGTACTGAACAAAATCTGTCAATAGTAATGATTAGTACTGTGTATTGAGAAGTTAAACAAGCTGTATAATCTAAACTCAGCCACAAATCACATGAAAGTCGTCCTAATGGCCATCGTCCAAGAAGAAGGTATAAAGTATAAAAATTCATTGAGAAAAATCCAATTAATACATCTGTAACTGCTAATGAAGCTATAAAATAATTTGATGCTGTTCTTAATGCTCTCTCGACAAAAAACGAAATAAGAACTAGTATATTTCCAACAATTGTAATAAAACTAACTATTGCTGTTAGTAATGCTAATATCACTGATGTTGTTCCTGAGTAGACAACAGTGGATACAGTAATGTTACCATTATCAGATTTTTCTTCCAGGGAACTAGAGTTCAGTTTCATGATATCAAAATCGATTGTACCTCGACTTGCAGCAGGTGCTTGCTTTGATGTTCGTCTATTTGTACTACGTATAGAATCACTGTAAATTTCTGAAGATTGTTCTGTTGGATTTATTAAAGGCTTTACGATGTTCGGAGTTTTGTTGGATGTTGGATTATTTGTGACTGATTCTAGTTTTGCACGCTGAATTTCTGACCATTTAAGATAATCCGGGGATATGTCAATGGATGATTGGAATTGTGAGAATTTCGCCACATTGCTGTGGAGTCGTATCCTGTGTTCACTTTGTACATGATAAAACTTACATTGAAGCAGCATGATACAGGATAGAAAATTTTGCATAAAATATAACAATAATTTCATCTTCATATACATTATACAAAATGTAAATGCAGTGTTGCTTTTGCCGCCTGAGCCTAATTATTATTCGTATATGTTATCTGGAAAAAATAAAAGGAAACGAAAGTTAAAATACTTGTGAAAATATCAGCACTAAGGTAATTTAGCCTACTTTATTTAATTGAACATTGACAAAATATTCAGTAAATGGAAACAAATGAAAATACGCGCTACCTCATAGTACTTGAAAGTACACATAGTCGATTTCTAAAATAAAACTATTCGTATCTATCTACTTCTTGTAGTAGTCTTCGGCTTTATTTACAAACACCAATATTTTTCGAAACTACTTCTTATTCAGAAATTGTGATGGAGTTCCGTTCTCTGAGTTGGATGTTTCGGTTGTGGAGGTTTCATTGTTCTTTTGAAGAAACTTCTGATTGAAGTCTATCTTCCATCTATCTATCTCTCTTCTGTCTGACGCTTGCTCTGATGTCGTTCAGGAGAACAAGGAAAGCTCCACAACCGAAACATACAGCTAAGAGAACGAAACTCAATCACAATCATCCACCTGAGCTTCAAATTTTCTCCACCATCTTATTCAATAATACCAATCAAAATAAGTAATTCCTCAGTAAAAGCTATATAAGGATGAATCATTACTAGTATTGACAACGGGAATAAAAACAAAGTTAACATAACAAGAGCATGGTTTGAAGTACCTTGTGAATCAACATTCTGTTTATCCTTAAGACTTTAAAATACAAACAAGACGAATTAAGTCCATTCAGTCCGTCGTGCTGGTTAGTGAAAACCACAACCTAGCATTTAAGTACAGAAAGTATTATCGACTCAAAGAAACCACTTGATAAGACACTATGAAAGACTGTTTTCGAGTGAGTGCTTATTGTACGTATTGAATATTCATGTATTGGATCAAAATGATCAAAACTTAGATGTATAATATCTATGTCTTAATTTCTGGTGGATTAAGTGAAATGGCATTTCAAACTTCAAATATGTTCCTATAATATTTCACTAAGGTTTTCCAATCATAAAATCTCCAGAGTATACTTGGAAATAGGCACAGTAGTCTATTTGTTTGTTCTCCAGCCATATATTACGTTTCAAGTAAGATGTACAAGGCTGAAGTTCCGAGATGAGTGTAAAAATGGATGCTATTAGATCCAGATGATAAGTTCCAAATTGTGTGAAGCAATGATTCTGGATTCTTTTGCTGTGCATTATAAAACTTTATGAAAATCCTTATCAATAAATATATATGAGAATATCGCCCATCCATACATATCAAAAAGAAAAGTCAACCACTTACTTACAAATAGATAAATATCTGCATAAGATATTCAATGAAGTTTGATTTTTATTTGAAATTGTTACTAGCATTTTCATGGTTTGTTTTGTTACAAATGAATAAATATTTTTTTTCCATTCACTGATAATAATTAATTTAATTATGTGTTATTTCATAAAATAGCTGTCATAATTGACTGGTATTTCTCGCTTTTATGCTCCAAGTCAACCATGCATGAATTCACTTGTAAAGTGACAGAAAATAGTCTAATAAAATTGTAAACCATTTTGACTAACTAGTGATGATTATGGTTCATTCATCCGGTTTTATATTATTTAGTGAATGTCGTTTTTAGAAAAAGTGGGAGAATTCAGGAAGCAGTTAGTATTGATATCATTCTATCATAATTATCCTCTGATGTGCAGTAATAATAAAAATGATTATAAATAATTAGCAGAAAATTCCTATCAAGTTACAATCCTTTTGAAAGAATTTATATATATTTATATACGATTATTAAAATAGGATCATAGATTTAAGGATAAGCTCTAACGAATGCAAACGGTATATTAGCGTTTTGTAATATACTGAAAGTAGATACTGAGTAACCGTATTTATGGATAATAGAATTATACAGCTTGTTGTTTTACATTGAAATCATGTTGCTGTTACAGTATATGAAGTTTGTAAATGAGTTTTCTTAACACTCTAGTTGAATATCATGAAAAAATTGACTTCCTATAACAAATACTTACTAATATAATCCAGTAGGGAAGTCATTTTTTAGCTTGGAGACTAAATGTGTTCTAAAAGTTGGATTTTCTAGATTTTGTACATTAAACACTGTTAGTAGAGTTGTATGAACATGAACCTTGCATCACAAATAAATAAATAGTTTTTACATTGTGACCAGGTGTTGTAAACTAAAAGTTCAATTGGTTGTCAGTGTTGTTTTATAGATATGACCTGATATATCTAAGTAGTTGACCGATATTTGTTTCGATTAGGTGAATATATTATGAATTTAGTAAAACAACATTGTACTTTCAAAACCTTGTAGTCTACACAATGACGTATAAATTTTATACAAATAATCTTTTTTCACATTTGAATTCGTGGTTTTTGTCTTAAACTTATGATACCTTTATTAGTTACTATAAAAATCAAACTGTTAGACTTCAAAAATCGATCCACTATCACTATTTAGCAGTTGCGTTTGAAGAGATTCGTGTAAATGATCATTCGTTTGCAAAATGAACCTGACTCAACCTTAAACGTTACTAAAATCATAAAAACTTTGGACAGAAATTTTATCATAATTATTAGTATTTAGTATTATCTATCTTTGACAAACTTTTCAACCATTGTAGTTTTAAATAACACTTTTCATGGAAATAAATCTAGATATTTGAAATTTTTGGGGAAATTTCAATGTCGTGTTTGATCAGGTTTTGTTTGAATGCATTGCTGATATATGGTTGTTTGATCTTCTAAAACTGCTTTTTTTGTGAGAATGTGATAACCAGAAAGAAATAAAATTTATGTGACTTTTATTACTCAAATTTAAGTTGCTAATAAAATGATGAAAATAAGTTCTACAAGTATAGAATTTGTGAATAGTAAAAGTTATTTTTCTCGAAATTCAACCGCGTTAAGTTAAACAGTCGATCAGTTACATCATAACAGCAGTCACAATGTACGGCTCTTGAGAATTGAAGAATCAAGAAGAGATTCATTTTTTTCTTGAGAACATCATACATCGTTATAACAAAAACTTCGGTTCATTTCAGATCATTCAAAAAATTTGTAGAACAATTTTACAAAAGTTTGAAATTTAACGTTTTCTCTGTTATACAGAGAGAGATTAATTTTAAAATTGTTGCATAATAACCAACCTTTGCAGATAATTTTGTTTTTCAAATAAACAGTAACTCATTGTCCGATTTTTGATTTTAAAAGCGATTTTTGAAAAAATTCATGAATACAATTCTGTTCAAGGTAAATAAGATATTCGAACAGAGAAAAATTCTTAGGAATCTTTTGTTTACATTAAAGATAACCAAGTGAAATTTATTTTCAAGCCGATAAATTTTTCTATCTGTTGCATAATTGTCCACAATATTCTTTGAATGAAACAAAGTTTGCTATTCAAGTATCATATTATACGGCAAATTCATAATACAAAACTTAATCTAACTAACGAATAATGATGAAATACTCTATTCTAATAAGTACAGTGTTTAATACTTTTTTAACTTATGTTGCATTTTTATCCGTAATGGCTGGTATCAACCTCTAAGCTGATATACAACATAGACTCATTTAAGATCTCATTGTCATATGGAGAGCTGATTCCCATACGTTATGCTCGTCATTTGATACGCTTGAAACTATTACGAGTACACCTTAATCGATAAACGAGAACGAGATAATGGACCAGTGACACGATAGTCTACTTCAATCCGCTGTCCCAACTAGCTGAAGAAAGAGTCTTGATATGGCGTAGAAAGTGTATTCTGCAAGCGCCCAGCAAGCACAATGAATCAAGCACACAAATCGCGTTTATTTACACGTCAAAGAAACGACCTTAAGAGAGTCACAGAAATAGCATACTAAAATAACACAAACAAATTCCAGCCAAGGGTGGGAAATGTGATCTCAAGGTCAATTGATCAGCCCATGAATAAAATCGAAGATGAGGGACTTTATCAAGTGAGTTCTGGGGATCTAACGTTCCCAACACTCTTCCCCTTTTTAATAACGTGCGCTTCTGGGGTTGACTTACATCTTGACTAACAATGATTTTGGTGGATTAGGACATGTAGTAAATGCTTTCAATTTTGAAAAAAATCGTACATACATGAATAATAGTTGTTTTATTCTACTACAATTATTCTTTGCAAAAATGTCGATAAACATACTGAAGTGTCTGTATCCGAAAGTTTTTTTTATTTCGTCCACCAAACAGAGGGATCAAATTACAAGTAAATTGAAATTTACTAAAAATAACTGAGATATAGTTTTAAAAACTTAAAATGTTTTTTTTCTATAGTATCATTTGATTGGTATTAAAGTGAGAATCTAACTTTATTATTTCAGAAAGAGTTCGTTCTTGAGTTGTTCAGTTTTACTATCACCAAACGAGTTATGATAATAAAGGTTTTACAAACTGAATAACACATAAAATCAGTTCTTCCCCAATTGCGTGCTACTTTCTTACTTTCTTAGGAAGATTATCAATGAATTATCGTGTAATGAGGTATATCAGGATGGAGATTGAAGTAAGCAGGAACTTAGTGAATCGATTTATGTGGACTATTAATCAACTAGACTATCAAGAATACATGTATATTCCTATCATCATAGGATTCCCGTTAACGCACCAATTGTAATCGTATGATGTACTGTTCCTAGTTCATTGACGATTTATCAATCTCCATTACACACAACCAGGTTGGCTCACTCGTGTAAAGTTGTTAATTTCTATTTATTGTTGCATTGTAGTCTGGTTTTGTATGTATAAAAAGGAATGTATGAAATATAGTAACAAATCTTGAAGTGATAGTTATTGAACTGTGTTCTTCCAATCCAGTTGAGGCAAGTTAGTTTTGAGAATAGAGTGATATATCTCTCCTCCTTGGTGCATATCGGTTACTCAGAGGGTGTCTACGTATTTGTTAGTGTGAGAACATAACAGTTATCATTGTGAAATACAACTTAGTTCAAATTTAACTGTCAGTCTAACTGTACATAACTCATATGAAAAACGGTATATTTCTAAATGCCTTG